TATCCGTTTTAGATTGTGTGAACAATTTCATCCATTATTTATGTGATTTTTGTATTCATTATTTTATAGCAATATTTGCATCAATTAACAATGGTTGCCGTTGGAATATGAACCTTTAATGTTTTTAACCTTCTCATAAACAAGAAAGACAATATTTATTAGCCAGTTACTTGACTGAACCAGCAGAGAGAGCCATTCAAAGCCAGTGCACTTTCCTCAAACAGTATATGACAAATTCAATGTTAACAGCCCCATAACAAATTCAATGTATGATACTGATAATGATCAGTAATGGCTGATTGCAAACTAAATCCCCCTCTCATCCTTTTTAACTATTTAAGACAGAGAAAATACTGTCTCAAAATGGAATAGTGATCCACAACATTATGTGTAAACAATCAAACTAGTATTTGACTAACATAAAATAGAAGGATAGACCTCTTAGACATAATGATTAACCCTTTCATGCATGAATTATGAAAGCCTCAGTCAGGATTTTTTTTACCAAGTGTTATCATTGCTCTTGGGGCATGAAAAACAAGATTTGAACTTTTTTTTTTTTAATCTAGTTTTTTCAAAGAGATTTTTATATGTCCACTCAGGTGGACAGTATGCGTTCAGGGTTTGAATTGAAGAGATGTACATTTTGAAAAAATGATAAATAAAGATGTGCAAACTTAAAATTACATTATAATAACATAAGTATATTGATTTACGGCCCAAAAAGATATTGCAGATGAAGTATTTTCAAGAATAACCAAGGCCAGGGGCCAATTTGAGGCCCCACGCACAGTTATTTGATGAGTGCTAGTGGAGCCTCGCAGCGGCGAAACCGTGCCGCGCCACCCTAATTGCGCCACATAAGCGCATAGGTGCGCCTCAGATGAGGCCCCCCTCCGCAAGGTGTGGCCCCCTCCACAAGGTGAGGCCCCACACAGTCTGCATGATCTACCTGTAGGGAGGGACGGCCTTGGGAACAACAGCAGCAGTACCAGTATGAATTGTAGTTGAAATATAGCCAGTGATGCATGGCGTCCACTGTAGTGGACAGGGGTTAATCATGATTTCCTGCAAACATAACATCAATACTTTGATAATTTATGAATTATATGATTCCTTAGTTGTTACTTGATGTCACCACCTTTTTTATACCTGCAGGGGACGCTTTCCATGAAAGGATTGGCAGGATATAGATGGGTGACTTGGTCCATGTGGCTTTCTGTCATCCATCTTGGTTTAGAGACATGTATCATGCACTTACACTGACTTGGCACTGAGTGGCAGTGTATGGGATGATGCAATAGGGTCCTATGTAGTGGCTGATGGTGCAACTATGCCAAAAAAAACAATGCATATACAAGAAAACACCTTTTGAATAGCTGTCCACTGTAGTGACCTCTATGCATGAAAGGGTTAAGATGTGGCATAGCAGATATTGACAGCCCAGAAGCACATTTTTTTAATTTGTCTTACTGTACACATGAAAACCCTGTCTCTGACCTTCTCTAATCCCCAAGGTATCAAAGTGAATACCCTGATCAGCAGCACCAGTCATTACCTGTCAGAATGAACCAAGGGACAAATGAAGGGACATATCAGCCAGGTGTAACCATGCCTTTTCGTCCTACACCCAGATACCAGAACACCAACTACAACCAGCTCTGTAAGCATAACTGAAAACAGGTTTTTACATTATGTATTTAGCTAAATGTACCATATTGCTAAGCTCTATACTGCTACAAAAACTGCTACAATTATGACGTAAAAAACATTTAAACAGATCTGTACTCTTTAATGTCTGAAAAGCACATTTGACCCGACTCAGCTAAAGTTGTTAAGCAGTTTTTGCAATGGTGATGTAGTCCTCACACCTTTCATGTGTTCATAATTTGATTATTTAGGCTTGTGTAATTGATACACATTCATTTATTGTTACATTAAGAAAGTAGGTTTGATTTAATCACAGAGTTACTGTACATTTTGTAATCTATGATTATTTACTAAGCATTTTCACAATTTTTGCCCTCCCAGCTGGATATTACCAAGGAATTCCCATCAATTTCTATCAAGAGACGACACAGGACCGGCTGTTTGTGGCCATGCCCAGCGCACAAATACCACACACTCAATCCAGTACCTTCCAATGCTACCGGGAGTCGCTGAATTGCAAGAGAGATTACGGTTTTTCCTCACTACCACTTAACTCTTGTTAACCATGTGTATTCTAGTGTTTGTATAATTAAAGCAGTGGTTCTCAAACTTTTTCTGTCAGGCCCCCCCTTTGGGGAAAAAAAAAGGTCGGGCCCCCCCAACACAAATAGTCAGGCTCAGTGGCGGCGCCAGAGATTTATTTTGAGGGAGCTTGACGTTTCATAGAGGGTGCTCAAACATTTACCCCCAAAACACACCAGGAGCGTCTGCGTCGTGTTACGGCCGCGCCGCGGCGGTCGTAAGGATCGCGGCCACTCTAGTCAATGGGTGCAATTACACCACACGCGCCGCGTTACGGCTCAGACGCGTCCCAGAAGCGGCTCGGCGCAGCGCTTCTCTAAAATTAGGATGAATCCTATTTTTGCCGCGGCGCAGCTGTAAGGTAAACTCCTCCCCCCATCCCCCCGTAGTCTTTCAAGTAGGAGAATACATGCCAGCGTTCTCCTCCGGTTTACAGGCACTGTAAATGGTATATATATAGAATAATTATGATGATGAATGCATATTTTTTTACCACTAAAATACAGCAACACATCTTTGATTCATGTCGTTTATAACTGGAATATTACAATTATTATTAACTGTGTCTGTAGTCTACAACACAACAAAATAGGAAATAACAACAATAAACACGATATAAACAGACACAAACATAAACCATTTAACTACGTATAGCCTACTTACTTGTAGAAGTACAAATGTCCAGGAAATATTCCAAAATCAACAACAACTGCGAGGCTGCACACACGACGCTCCGCTTCCGCAACGTTTTGAAACGCGTCTGGTGTGTGTTGACGCAGGAGGAGGTTGCAGCGTGGCGCAGCCGCAACGTAACGCGGCGCAGACGCTCCTGGTGTGTTTTGGGGGTTAGGGTTTCCCATTAATGTACCGGGCGCAACAGTTGAATTTTCTACTGCAACAATCCCCACGCATACGTACCCGCGACTGTTACAATGAAGGCTCGATAATCAGCTCACGGCATATAGGTGTAAGCAGGGGTAAAGTGCTATTTTTATAGGTGGTGTGTGGACCTCACATAGGGGGGTCCTCAACTCCTCTAGGGGGGTCCGGGGGCAAGCTCCCCCGGGAAGATTTATTTTTAAATATTGAAGTTAAAAGCATCAATCTGGTGCACTTTGAGAGCAAAATGAAGAGATCTATGGATACATCTCTCAACACCTATATGAAACAGAACTGTAAACAGATTTACTTTTTCTTTCTGGATATTTTACAAATCACCCTTTTAAACTTTATTCTTGTTTTACTGTCATATAGTATTTCATACCCGTTTTTCATTTATTCTCTTATTTTTTATAACTATAATGATCATATAAACGTGTGCCTCGGAAATAATTGTTTACATTAATGGTGACCAAAACGTTTGAGACCCACTGAGATAACACTGAGAGAGTCCTTTAGCTCACTGAGCCTCTCAGTCTGACAGGAGAGGACTCTCCTCCACTTTGTTGTTGAAAAAACTCCTTATATCCGTTAGCATAGCTCGCTAGCACCAGAAGCTAACAACAGCGATCTCCGGTACCGGTGCGCTCTCTCTCTCTCTTGCGCTCACAAAATGGCTCGTTCCACACACACACACAGAGCCGAGCTTTAATGAAACACAGAGACCCAGACGTAATAGTACTGTACTGCATCATATTATTTCGAATCAATAATTTTTCAAATTATGATTTAAAAAAAAGTTATAACCATTTTTCTTCCTGGTCTCTCGCGCCCCCCCTGACATGCCTCTGCGTCCCCCAGGGGGGGCGCGCCCCCCACTTTGAGAACCACTGAATTAAAGTGAGGAGAAAGGTTATTGTTGCCATTATCCCATTTTTGTTGTGTCAAAAAGAAAGCCTGATCCATTATTAGATCATTGATAACCTTAATTTTTGTGTCTTCCCAGTTGGATTTTCTCAAGGAGATCAAGTTACATTTCCGCTTCATGAGATGGACAGCCTGCCATTTGCGGCCAATAGCAACACAAACACACCAATGATGCTTGAGTACTCCAAGAACACATGTTATGGCCAGCAGGAAAATAGTAAGGAGGAGGAGTTTGAGTACAAATTGTCAGGTAGCTCAAGATTTCCAGACTGCTGCTACTCAAAAAAGAGGATGGGTAGCAAACAAATGATCATCATCTCTGTAAATGTCAAAGGGAATTGTTACAACAGACCAAAACAAACAAGCGCTGAGCACTTTTACTTTTTAAGTCCATTTGAGCCCTAATACTTAACTTTACTTCTAGTATTTAAAAGTGTGGTATTGCAGCTAATACTTAAGTTAAGTCTCTTAAAAGGTCTTCAATCACTGTTTCACATTCTCCTTAAATGGTATCTCGGAAAATTCCAAAAAAAACATTATTCCAAAACATAGGACGTTGTCATATTTCCTTAAAATATTTTGGGTCCTCTATTTCCCTCTGTAATGCCTGCAGAGGGAGCCAGCCCCCTTAGCTATGAAATGAATCATCTGAGCGATTATGAGCAACCTGGCTTAACCTGAATAACAGCAAAAAGTATACATGTTATTTCCTGCCCACACTATAAGTTCTTACAGTAAAAAAAGGTTTGAGATTTAAAAGTCTGACTACCCATGTTCAACAAGCTGCAGTGCTCAGTGTTGTGCTTTAGTCTGACTGAAGACAATTCCTGCCAAAGACAAACAGCAGAGTGCCTGACTCATAGCGCTGTGTCGGGGGGGGGGGAGCAAACCATACTGTTGACATCAGGAGGCCAGTGATGTCATGGTGATGTCAATGCCTCTAATTGTAAATTGCACACATAGCCTCGCAGTTGGCTGTGGTAACATTTCAGTCAGAGGGAACACTCAGAAGGAGGCAGTTTGTCTGCTGGAAGATATACATGATGGCTGTAACTGGGGATGAGACAGAAACAGGTAGGTTTGCTTTCTCTTTTACTGGCAAATCTAAATCATAGGGCTTTTTTTACACTGCTTTTTAGTCAAGATACTCATTGAGGAATATCTCAAAATATAGCAAGTTGTTAGTAATGTCAACTGGCAGAATTCACAGGTAATGTGTCAGTTTTGGAATTGAACAAAAAAGTCCAGGTTATGGTTATTGTGATATTGCAATGGGGCATTTGTTTATATATTTTAGCTTTTTTTTCTTCAACCCACTATTAGAAAGTTCAATATTTTTTTACATAACACTTTAAATAGGCTCCTCTAAAAACAGTAGAAAAGGAATGTTTAAATATACGTCTGATTTTCCCCAGTCAGCAACAAAACAAGCTCCCCCGATAAGAAATATTTTCACAGGGCTTGCTTCTCTCCACATTCATGCTCTCTCTCCCTGTTTCTCTCTCCCTGTTTCTCTCCCTCTCTCTGTGAATGGCTCGGCCCACTCAGAGCACATAGCAGCAGTAACTGACGTCACTGCTTTTCCTGGAACAGGCCCCCAGCAGCGATATGTAAATGCAAACCAGCGTTTGAGATATACTTGACGTCAGTCACCAGCCACGCTGTGATTTTATGCAGTTCCTTTTGTCATTCCAACATTTCAAAGAATTCATTATTAGTGTTTTACGCGATAAGGGGTGCAGGGAATTCTACAGGCACTGAGCAGAATGAACAGAAGAAGATAAGAATGGTGTGTTTCTTTTTCAGCGACAAACTCCCATTTTATATGAAATGTGGAATTCAGTCACTTATAATCTCTTATTATATCCATTTATCACATATTCAACATACTTGACATTTAACAGCACACAATAAATGAGCATGTGATAAATACAACTTTTGAAATCACGAAAATGCTGAAGAGGTTCTAGTTTGGAAAAACAAAATGAGTGTGAACATTTTTGATTTGTGACTACCGAGTACATTTAAACTTAACATAGAGATTCATTGTTTCCTTTAATTTATTATCGGTGTTGCAACTAACGATTGTATTGATTCATCTGTTGATTGTTTCATTGATCGATTGATTCAGTTTTAGATCTATAAAATGTCAGCAAATGGTGAAAAAAGTCAATCAGTGTGTTAAAAAGCCCAGGATGAAGACCTCAAATGTTTGAATTGAATGAGTTTACTGTCATAGAGTGAAGAAAGAAGAACATTGGAGAAGCTGAAATCAGAGAATTTACCACTTTGTTCTTTAGGAATTACTCAAACCGATTGATCGATAATCATAGTCATGGTTATTGATCTATTTTGCAGTTCTGTAACAGCTCGTTATTCTATAAAGACCTACCTGTTATATATTGAAATGCACCATTGGGAATTATTGTTTTATTAAGAAACCAATTACAGAAGTTGCTTCAAGCTAAGACATTTCTCAGGTTTTTTTTGGTTGCACCAAGTTAAATAAATCAATCTTTGAAACATAGTTATTTGGGAAGGATATTTCCACCCAAGCCATGAAATGGATATACGAATAACTGGTGCAACTCAATCCTATTGACTGACATGTTGTTTTTCTGTCTCCACAGGCACCTCAGGTGACTTGACTGCCTGCCAGTTGCAGAACACCGGCTCCAGCCTCCCACAGGGGGGAGCCGAGACCAGCACTCAAGGGTTCGTGAAATCTGCGGACCCCTCACAAAAGAAAGAGCACCGCTTGATGAAGAACAGGTAGATAGCACCATTCACACTCATCATCCTCCACATTTGACTGATCGATAAAGTAGCCATGGCGATATTAACAGCCAAAATGAACTGTATAATATAACTGAGTAGCTATATCGTAACTCATGATTAAGATGAAACTACTGTAGACTTAGAGAGATTCCAGCACTTGTTGAGACCAATAAAAGCTACATTTTTTATGAAATTCTAGTAAGGTTTGACCCTGGAGCGATTTGATTGGGCAGTTGTTAACGCAGTAATCGTACTCTGGTGTCGACCAAATCTACCAGTCCATAACATAAAGCAAACAAAATGCAGGAAGTGAACCAAAACGTAATGGTTAGTGGCTGCTTGCTTGGACATTTGTGATGGACAGATATTAATGGCAGGTTAACATGAGTAGAGAGGACTGGTTTGGACTCCTGCAGAAATCTGATGTTTACTTGACATCTGGGTCCAAGAGAACATACACAACATGCTCAATATAGTCCCATTTTAAACTGCAGGAGAAGGGATTTGCCCTTCCATTACATTACATTACATTACATTGCATTTAGCTGACGCTTTTATCCAAAGCGACTTACAATAAGTACATTCGACCAGGAAGACACAACCTTGAAGAAAACAGAATCATATAAGTACATCAGGTTTCATAGAGCCAAACATTTCAAGTGCTACTCAACTGTCTTTAGATAAGCCAGTCCTTTATTAGTATATAAGTGCTTTGTTAATAAATCTATCGCTTGAGGTGGAGTCGAAAGAGATGAGTTTTCAGTTTGCGCCGGAAGATGTGCAAGCTATCTGCTGTCCTGATGTCAATGGGGAGCTCATTCCACCATCTTGGAGCCAGGATAGCAAACCCACGTGTTTTTGCTGATGGGAACTTGGGTCCCCCTCGCTTCGAGGGTGCAGCGTTTGGCTGATGCAGAGCGTAGTGCACGCGCTGGGGTGTACGGTTTAACCATGTCCTGGATGTACGAAGGGCCAGATCCATTCGCAGCATGGTAAGCAAGTACCAGTGTCTTGAAGTGGATTCTAGCAGTTACCGGAAGCCAGTGAAGGGAGCGGAGGAGCGGAGTGGTGTGGGAACATTTAGGAAGGTTGAAGACCAGACGAGCCGCTGCATTCTGGGTGAGCTGCAGAGGTCGGATGGCACATGCAGGTAGACCAGCCAGGAGGGAGTTGCAGTAGTCTAGGCGTGAGATGACGAGAGCCTGGACCAGAACCTGCGTCGCTTTCTGTGTCAGCTGGGGACGTATCTTCCTGATGTTGTAAAGCGTGTATCTGCAGCAACGGGTTGTAGCAGCGATGTTTGCAGTGAAGGACAGGTTGTTATCTAGGGTCACACCCAGATTCCTTGCAGTCTGAGTCGGGGGAAACAACTGAGGTGCCGATGTTGATTGTTAGGTCAAGAGTGGGACAATCTTTTCCCGGAAGGAAGAGCAGCTCAGTCTTGTCAAGGTTGAGCTTGAGGTGATGAGCAGACATCCACTGAGAGATGTCAGCTAGACAAGCAGAGATGCGTGCGACGACCTGGGTCTCTGAGCGGGGAAAGGACAGAATTAATTGGGTGTCGTCAGCGTAGCAGTGGTATGAAAAACCATGCGGGCTAATGACTGATCCGAGCGAGTTTGTGTACAGGGAGAAGAGGAGGGGACCAAGAACAGAGCCCTGAGGGACCCCTGTAGTTAATTGACAAGGGTCGGACTCAGACCCTCTCCAAGTCACCCTGTAGGTACGGTCTTTGAGGTATGAGGTGAGGAGGGAAAGTGCAGAGCCTGAAACTCCAAGTTTTTGGAGAGTGCGAAGGAGGATCTGATGATTCACCGTGTCGAATGCAGCAGACAGGTCCAACAGGATGATGACAGAGGAGAGGGATGCAGTTTTGGCAGTGTGCAGTTCCTCAGTGACAGCAATGAGAGCAGTTTCTGTGGAGTGACCTGCCTTGAAACCAGACTGGTGCGGATCCAGAAGGTTGTTCTGATGGAGATAACAGGAGAGTTGTTTAAAGACAGCGCGTTCAAGTGATTTAGACAGGAACGGGAGTAGAGAGACAGGCCTGTAGTTTATAACATCTGACGGGTTGAGAGTGGGTTTCTTTAGGAGAGGATTTACTCTTGCCTCCTTGAGACTGTTTGGAAAGTGACCAGAAGTTAGAGAAGTGTTGGTGAAATGGGTGAGAAACGGTAGAATATCAGGAGCGATAGTCTGAAGGAGGTTTGAAGGGATGGGGTCCAGAGGACAGGTGGTAGGGCGGGCAGAGGTAATGAGGGTAAGAACCTCACTTGGAGAGAGAGGGGAAAAGGAGGTTAGTGTGTGGGTGGAAGGAGGGTCTGGTGACCCAGCGGTGAGTAAAGGTGAGTCAGAAAAAGAAGAGCGAATATCATCAACCTTTTTTTCAAAGTGGGTAACAAAGTCGCTTGACAGAAGTGAGGAGGGGGAGGGCTTTTGGAGGGTCCAAGAGGGTGGAGAAGATGGAAAATAGTTTTTTGGGATTGGAATAGGAAGATTGGATCTTATCTTGAAAGAAAGTGCTTTTTGCCTGAGAGATCGAAGCCGAGAAAGAGGAGAGGAGAGCCTGATAGGTTAGGAGGTCGTCACGGTGTTTGGATTTCCACCGTTTCCGCTCTGCTGCCCTAAGGACGGTTCTATTAGCACGCAGTGCATCATTTAGCCAGGGAGCAGGAGGGGACTGACGAGCCTGCCGAGATGTGAGAGGACAGAGAGAGTCCAGAGTGGATGAGAGAGTAGAGAGGAGAGTTTCTGCAGCAGAGTTTGGAGGTAGTAGTTGGAACGAGTCCGAGGAAGGGAGGGCTGAGAGCACCGATGAGACAAAGGTAGAGGGGGAGACGGAACGAAGGTTACGGCGGACAGGTGCATGATGAGAAGAGATTAGTTTGTTATGTTTGGAAAGGGGTAGAGAGAATGAAATGAAGAAGTGATCGGATGTGTGGAGCGGGTTTACAGAGAGGTTAGAAGTAGCGCAGTTCCTTGAGAATATGAGATCAAGGACATTGCCAGCTTTATGAGTCGGTGGGGATGGAGACAGTGAGAAAGCAAAGGCGGTTAACAGAGATGTTAGTTCGTCTATCTTCCCTGTCTGGAGGTTGAAGTCTCCGAGAAGTACAGCGGGAGGGCCAGTTTCAGGGATGTGTGAGAGGAGATTATCTAATTCCTCCAAGAAGTCCCCCAAGGCGCCTGGTGGACGGTAGAGAACAACAATGGTTAACTGTATAGGATGGGTTACTGTGACGGCATGGAATTCAAAGGTGGAAGGAGTGAAGTTAGGTAGCTTGAAGAGGGAAAAGCTCCATTTGGGAGAGAGCAGGAGACCAGTGTCACCTCCTCTGCCAGTTGGTCTGGGTGTATGGGAGAAGGAATATGCTGTGGAGAGAGCTGCTGGGGTGGATGTGTTGGATGGAGTAATCCAGGTCTCAGTGAGAGCAAGGAAATCCAGAGACTGCAGGGAGGCGTAGCCAGAGATGAAGTCAGCCTTAGGAACAGCTGACTGGCAATTCCACAGGCCACCTGAAACTAGATGTTGGATCTCAGTGGAGCATGTGGGATAGATGAGAGCAGGCCGGTTATAGCGATTAGGAGATACACGGGGCCAGTGATAATTGCGAGAAGACACATGAACAGGAATGGAGAAAATACACATGATTATAGCATGAGGGGCTGGAAAACTAAAGAAAAGAGAAATAAGACACCAGTTCAATCAGAGTAGGATTTGCCTCCTCTTTGCCTCCCTCGTGACTCCCGCAGGACTCTAATGTCTTTGTCAGTCTTACTCCCGCAGGACTCTAATGTCTTTGTCAGTCTTCGGCTGTCTGACGCTTAAGCTGACGCTCCAGGAAAGAGCTACCTAAAATGGACGCCTGATTGCTGAGTTCTCACAGCTGTGGGGCCATGCCCCTCTAATTAGTTAACTCTCTACAGCTGATGGGCGACAGTAGACTGGCCCTGCCTATATTGTAATGCAGGCTTGAGTGCCCCTACTGAGACCTGTGTAGCAGGTTTCGCTTGAGCAGATCTGAGATTTAAAATCTCTCAAAAGCGCCGTTTTAGCTACAATAACTACAGAACAATTATACAGAGTAGAATAAATGAAACAGAGAAGTCTAATTAAACAAGAATATAACTTACAGTGGTTGCTGCGTCAATAGGTAATGTCGTCACCCGGTCCAGATGCACATGTTAAGGTTGTGCATCTGGTTTTTGTTAACGCTTCTTCATCACAACCCATTTATTGGTTCTACCTTAATTTGTGCACTGTGAAGCCAAACTACGCCAAGTAAAAAACATACCAAACAAACCAATAGCATACATTTTGCTGATTTGGTAAAGCCAAAGAGACTATGCCTTGTGAAAGCGCTCATAGATGTATGTCAATGCAATTGGCAAAAATGTTGGGGAATGCACGCATCAACTTTCACGCGCAGAGTGAGAGGAAGAAAAATGTATGCCCCTTCCATTATAGTACACTGCATATGAAGCTACAGCCAACAGCTGATAATCTTAGTTTAGCAAAGATACTGAAACAGGTGTAATGCACCAACTGTGCCAGCACCTCCAAAGCTCCAGATTTCCAACAGAGAGTACTGACAACAAGATGGATTTCTGTATTGCAAAATACTCTCAAATGTGAATATTGATATTGGCCTTAAACACGTCACTTTGAGCCCATTCACTCTTTCTGATGTGCCTACCATGTAATACACAAACACCTAGCAAATACAAAATGACAACGTAGGACAATGACTGCATGTAATCATACCATCCACAAGCCTGTCATCATTCCACCGCATGATTCTCCTCCATCCTGGGTGTTTAGCTGCTAACTCTTAAGTTGTCTGACTCCCCATTATCTGCACTGTTACGCATGTTTGGAGTAAACAGAAAGTTGGATGACCGACTTGTGTTTGTAAGTGAGTCAGTTAGTCTTGTTTGCTGGTTTGCAAAATTGATTACCTCGTGTTATAACATGCTTTTTGCTCGCTGTCCGTAGAACCTTGAGCTTACTGTGTGTTTTCTGTAAACAGCCTTGTGTCACCATTGGCAATGACTCACACCTTCCTTGTTTGCATGTTCCCTGCCATCCCATAATCCGTCATTAGTAAATCTTCTTGGATGCTTTTTTTTATTGTTGTTGTGACATTCTCCTCTTTTGATTGGTTCTCGTACTATCCCGAAGGCATCCCATACATGGTCATAGTTATTGTTGACCAAACTTTCTGTACCCTCTTGAAGAAATCTTTTGTAACTTTTCGAATGTTTTCTCCTTGGTGTAAACTGATTCCTGGCTAGAAGGACGTCTCTGTTGTATCTTGGAGGGAAGCCAAGATGTCATGGCGTCTTTTTCACGTTTACTGTTGTTGTTGCTTCCAGGGAAGCCGCCCGGGAGTGTCGGCGAAAGAAGAAGGAATATGTAAAATGCCTTGAAAATCGCGTGGCCGTGCTTGAAAATCAAAACAAGACTCTGATCGAGGAACTTAGTTCCTTAAAAGATATTTACCGACACAAAGTCGAGTGATATTTCTGATCAATCAATCAATCAATCAATGTTTATTTATATAGCCCAATATCACAAATGTTACATTTGTCTCAGTGGACTTTACAGTTTGTACAAAATATCAATATGACAATACGACACCTGATCGTGTTTGTCTGCTTCTTTGTGGTGTCTTGAGGACTGTGGTTTTGCTTATACAGACACAGATGCACACTCAAACAAAACGCTCCTTGTCCTTGCTGTAAAATGTGTTTACACGATGATGTCAATGTTATCAGGCTCTGAATTATTCAATGTGCCACCACCAGCAAAAACAAGAACATTCAGGGTTTTCAGTGAGTATTATGAAGAGCCTATGTCCCTTTGAACAGGGATGCTGCCAAAAGATACAGGGGAAGAAAGAAGGACTATATTGACATACTGCTGGAGCGCATTGACTCTCTAGAGAAGAAGAATGAGAAGCAGAGTGCCGAGCTGCAGCGCCTGAAGAACGACACTGCAATTAACATTCCTCTATGATGACTTTTTTTTTACCAATTTGCTCTATTAAAATACTAGTAATCGCTAGTCTTTGTGATGGTCTGTTTTTCTATTGCTGTTTGTTCAGGAAATGCTGCCATCAAATCTAATGTTCAAAGAGCACAATTTGTGTCTAATTCTACTTTAGAAATCCAGATGCAAGCAGGATTTTACATCCACTATACCCATCTTCTTTGTTAGAAACCTCCCAGGATCTGTTGTGCATCTCTATGCTTCTGCTTACATGTGGCGTTAATATTTATGTGTGCAGATGTACCCTGTAGTTGTCATAGTTTCAAATACCGGTGCATTGTTGTACCAAAAAACGGAATATTTGGTTTAGAAATACATCAATCTGGAATTGTGTAAATTAGCTGTTTAAATTGAAATGTTTTTGTTGCTTAATCTAAGTATACATGGCTGAATGTTAAGCTTATTTATGTAACCATCTTTTAAATGTTTTGATCACAAAGGTCTTACAGACATGTTTAATGTATTTGCTTTAATAAAGTTCTTGCTCTGTATCTCTGTGTTTTTCCACACATATTAAATATAAGACATCCATAAAGGACACAGTACAATTTCTATCTAAGGCTTTTATTGCCATGTGAGTCTCAACCTTGGGCTTCTGCTCAGAACATGACATGCTGTCCTTTTTCGCGATGACTCAACTTGATTTCTTCAACTATCGACGAGAAGCAAAGCAATTTTCCCTCTTTTACATCTTCTGTTGCCTTTTGAAGCATGTACACATGCCTAAACAGTGTATTCTTAATGAAGGATTGAGTACTTAAAAACATATTCCATTAATCCCCTTCAGAGGAATGTGGGAATGCTAACTCAAAGGAGAGATTATCCCTGTTTTAAGTAATGCCATTCTCTGCATTAGGATACAATACCCAATAATTTGTTGCCGTAAAGAAAAACTGGTTTTAAAATGCAGATAATGGCCAATTTATAATAAGAACCAAAACAAATCCTAATATTAATGTTAAGAATATCAGGAAGAATAGTTGCTATAATGGGAATGGAATTTCATTTTACATAGAGCACCTAAATTGAAGATGTATACATTATTTTTATTTTGTGCTACATCTTAACTGTCTTATGTCCGCTTGCAGTGATTGTGTTTCCTGTTCTGTAACTTCTCATGTGTCAATATATTGGAGAGGAATTTGTATTATCACTGCACCTGGGCCCATTGTGAAACCTTATTCCTGTCCAGTCTATAACACAACAACTTGGAATGCAAAGGTAAGGAAAAGGAAATACCAGCTGATTGCCATGGACTTAATGCATTACTAAAAGCATAGGGAATGTAACAGCAGCAACAAATTATCTCACGACATCAATGATTATCACACTAATGTAAAATGCTGGACACTCAGCACATGTTTCAGTCTGCGATCCGGCTCGAACAGTAGCCTGGATTTGAAGACTGCTCTCCTGTTAGAGGTGCAAAAACATATTTTAAACCTGAAGCAGTAACCTGTATTGTGGGTGTATTCTCTCACTAAATGCAATGCAGTTGCCATGCCAGCAGGCTGCACTGCAGCACCGGGCCTGATCAGGTAAACCAATGTAATCCTGTAAAAAGTGTATCAATCCTCCATTCTTCAGTCCCCAGCATCATTCAAACTGTAAAGTCCACTGAGACAAATGTAACATTTGTGATATTGGGCTATATAAATAAACATTGATTGATTAGTGATTGTCTGAGGCATCAAGGTGTTAAATATTGTCTCACATGTCTTATAAAACATCTTAAAGGATTACGCTATTCCTTAATACCTCACTTTGTTTACGTTTACCTCAGTGTCGGCCCGACCCATTAAGCGACATAAGCGGCCGCTTAGGGCCCCGCAGCCACTAAGGGGCCCCCTAGCAAAAAATGATAAAATAAATAAATCTCAGTACACCGTCGCCGTGATAAGTATGTTTAATTAATTGTGTTAATGTGCCTAGATTGCCTACTCTCAACGTCATATATTATATTATTGAATCAATAATACATTAACCGTGCTTTACCTGAACCTCATCATGACACGAGAGATGACATGAGAGGACGACAGAATTGTAATTTCCCGTGTTCAGTGAATGCAACAGAGACCAACCAGAGAGTTGAATGGAAATAAACATCTGTCTTATTGGCTAACAGGTACCTATCCTGTGAGCTGTGACAATGTTTAAAATAAACTGTCAGTCGGACTCAGAGTTTTTGAAGATGGACATAAGGAAACATTTTCTTAAAAAAGACGACAATTCTCAAGTGGTGGCTCACACAACAACCCCAGAGCCAGCACTTGAGCCAGGTAAACAAGGTATGTAAACGTCAGTACACTTCCAAGTTATGCGAACATGTAAGCAAAGCATAAATTACAGCTACGTTGACGTTACTTTGAATCGCGGGGGAAAGCTAAACCGTTAGCAAGTAGCTATAGCTAGCCAGATATTAAAGGGGACCTATCATGCAAAATGCACTTTTGTACGTCTTTTATACATGCATATGTGTCCCCGGTGTTCCAGGGAATTCACCAAGTGTCAGAAAACACAACCCTCTCTCTTTTCCTCCATACCCAAATCTAAAAAAAAGGGGCTGTAACGGATCTGATACAGACTGATACAGATTTGAATTATTTTCTACATCACAGAAGTGGTGCTCCGCTTAGTGGTCAATTCTCCACCTATCAGGGGAATGTGGGGATGGGCCACCGCCGGCCATTGCCGCTCGAAAGCGCTGGAGACGCTGTAGTACATATGCCAGGCCTGTAAGTGGCGCTGTAGTCTGCCACAGAAGCAGCGAAGAAGACTTCCCGCGCATGGTTGTTCTTCTGTTTATTCTCCGCTGTGGCTCTTTTTCTCCCTCCCCGAGGCAAGCGTTTGCTCCTGTAATTCAATGCTATGGAGTCAGATTTGGGTCAATATTCTAGCGCGTAAAACAAGCTATTCACGAGCGGAAAATGTGCTTTTACACGCGCATAAAATGACCCTCGCGCGCATATTAAACCCCCGCGAGCGGCTATGCGCTCGTGAGAGAGACAGCCCTCTTGCTCGCTCGCGGGAGTGTCAGCCTTGCGGAGTCTGTCTACGCGCGTGAAAGGTTTCTGGCACTTTGGGGCGGAGCCACTGGTATGGAGTCAGATTTGGGTCAATATTCTCGCGCGTAAAACAAGCTACTCACGAGCGGAAAATGTGCTTTTACACGCGCATAAAATGACCCTTGCGCGCAGATTAAACCCCTGCGAGCGGCTCTGCGCCCGCTCGCGAGAGAGACAGCCCTCTTGCTTGCTCGCGGGAGTGTCAGCCTCGCGGAGTCTGTCTACGCGCGCGTGAAACGTTTCTGGCACTTTGGGGCGGAGCCACTGGACTTTGATTGACAGCTGCCAGGAAACCCGGGGTTGCCAGGTTTGATAAATGCCTGAACTGCCAAGAGCCGAGCAGTGACGGCAGCAAAATCAGTTGGACGAGATTGAATGGTAAAGTTGTCCATAAAAAACTATTATATTCGTAAAGTGTACAGCTAATATATATATATATGTATATATATATGTATATATATATATATATATATATATATATATATATATATATATCTTAATGAATTTTATATAAAACAATATATTTTTGAGTGGGCTGTATCTGTCGAAAACATGCTGTCTGCTGTATGCACCTCCCTTACGAAATGAACTATAAATGAATTATAGTATTACTATAGTATACTATAAGAGTTGTATAGTGTCCTTTAGTAAGTTTGTATTTTTCACCAGCTATTGTATTACTATAGGTTTTTCTGTAGTGCCATTTTATTAGCTATAGTAGCCCTATAATATTTCAATAGTAATACTATGTATCTAGATCTTTGTAGTATTCCTATATTATTTTAAATAGTATAACTATAGTATAATATATAGTGTTTCTGTAGTTGTTTTTTGAACACAAGAACACTCCTATAGTAATAGTATGATGTTGTCATAATGAATGCATATTATTACTATAGTGTTTGTAAAAGTATTGCACTCCTAGAATTAATGTGTAATTTTTTTTATATCAAATTAATTTATATATATATATATTAGCTTTACACTTTACGAATATAATAGTTTTTTATGGACAACTTTACCATTCAGTCTCGTCCAACTGATCTTGCAGCTGTCACTCCTCAGCTCTTGGTAGTTCAGGCATTTATCAAACCTGGCAACTCCGGGCTTCCTTGCATCTGTCAATCAAAGTCCAGTGGCTCCGCTCCAAAGTGTCAGAAACTTTTCACGCTCGCGTAGACAGACTCCGCGAGCAAGTGAGGCTGACACTCCCGCGAGCGAGCAAGAGGGCTGTCTCTCTCGCGAGCGAGCGCATAGCCGCTCGCGGGGGTTTAATCTGTGCGCGGGGGTCATTTCATGCCCGTGTAAAAGCACATTTTCCACTCGTGAGTAGCTTGTTTTGCGCGCTAGAATATTGACCCAAATCTGACTCCATAAATGCAATCCCTCCCCGTCAAGGCAAGCACTGTAATTCTCTCCGGTTAGTCCACCAGCAGATGACAAACACCCACCTCTCCGCCTCTTCCAAGGAACGAGGGGACCCAGAGTTTCAGTTAGATTTTTTTTCGCCGGTCAACATGTCCGTTAAAGTTTAAATCTTCTTTGTTATTTATTGAGCTTTAAAACAAATGAATAATGACTATATAATCATATATAAGAATAAAACACTCTTTGTGTCCCCCTCTTCTCCCCGCTGCAGCCTAGCAGCTGATCTCAAAGCATGCTCCCCTCTCCTCTCTGCAAAAACAGGGGTGGAAAGATTAAATAGAGCGAAATGAGGCATAAGGCTAAAATGCAGGATCTGTTTGGTGTTTTGAAAAAAAAACTATATTTATATACTTTATATAGGTATGGCCCTACAATATATTGTTCAAATATAGCATGATATGTCCCCTTTAAATAAACAGCCAAAGCTCGCTTAGGGCCCCCATAAGTCTAGGGCCGGCCCTGGTTCACCTCAACTAATATCACTTAATCCTGCAGAGAGGTTGAGTATAATAAATCATATCACTGTCATAGGCAAAGCACTCATGGATTTGTCAGTCATTAGTCAGATCAAAAAATGTACTCGAACTCATATGTTGGATCCTTAACATGTCATAACCCAGGGATACAGCTACAGCTTTATGTTGCATGTATTCTTAGTTTACTGTCTGTTATAGTAACTGTAAATACATATTGGTGGATTGGAACCAGTCATTGGTGGACTTAAGGAACACACATGAACTCAACAGATTGTCTTATTCTATTCCCAAGAGACATTATTGTCCATCTATTAGACACCGACTTGAACCGGAACCCTTCACATCACAGCCACAGTGCTGTACGTTATAAATATATATTTACGTGCTGCCGGAAATATCGTAAGTTCTACCTACATGTAGCCTCCGGACCTTCTCCCGCTATTTGGTGAGGGAAATAATAAATACGAAAAGCAGGAATAAAGTCTTTATTCATGCTTTTTGTATTTATTATATTATAAAGAC